ATGGAAGTTCAGTATTCTCAGCATTCGAAGATTTCGCTTCTAAACGCATTACATTAACAAGCCCTGCAGCGGCATCAGAGACTTCAACTTCTTCTGCTCCACATTCGATGGCATCTTCTGTAGCTAACTCCTCAATATTTTTTGATGAAACTAAACGCTCCTTACTGACGCTTGCTGCTGTTCATGTGAATAACCTTTTTCAAACATAGAAGTGTGCCTAAAGAATTTTCAAATTCAACTGGTACGAACTTAATTCAACAACAACGCTCGAAACGAGCGTCATTTTGAATAAAAATGTCATCGGCACCAGAAGAGAGTAAGATTTATAATTTTTTTATAAACTTTAAAAATAAATTTAATTTAATAATAAATTTTTTTTTATAGCCAAAAAAAAAAAACCAGTGACGAGGGCTGCAGTTCTAACTCCACCTCACGTTTCTCGTTTTTACAAGCATTTAAAGCCATACATGAGATTGTGAAAAATTCACTTGTATGCCGTTTAATTTCTACTCTGGCTGTGTCCTCTTTACAGAACTCAGAAACTTACTCTGCAACTTAAATTAGAATGTGCACAGAGTTGCTTGCAATTAATTAATTAATTATTTCTCTGGCGAAATTAATAATAATAATAATAGATTTTTTGTAGACTTCATTATGGAAACGTTATTGTTCTTGGGTAGATTTAACATTCTTTTCCTTTTGTTGTTCAAAGCCCAATTTCGGCCAAGGTGTTGCTTCCATTAATTGATTTTCCATGCGGCATCCAAGATATTATTTCGCTTCCCGTCGGCACTTGGAATTTTGATCCTCGTTGCGGTTTAAGCAACTCATATAAAGTAGGTAATATTTTTTGCACAAGCTTCCTCTTTCCGGCGGTACAGGTGTGAATTTTGTTTTCTTTACGCGCTTCATCACGAGATTAAGTTTGTATAACGTTTTTGTTAATTTATTATTTATTTATTTTTTTTTTGGATTGCTGGGTAGAGAGTTTTGGCAAGTTTTTGTTTATTCACTTATTTTACACACTTCACAGTGTTTGGTTTGCAATCAGCAGTGTAGAAGACAATAGCTATTTTAAAGGAAAGATAGAAAACTTTTATGCAATGGAAAAAATAGTTATTTTCCTCTTAAAATCATACAATTTGTGAACACAACGGTTTGCATAACATATCTATGAAATTCGAAATTCCTTGAATTCCTCCTCCTTCATTTGTATGGACCGTCTTTGAATGCTCACCAATTCCTTCACCGCTTCTATCAAAGACTTGTGATACTCTCCATTTTTTTGGAAAAGGCTTCTTATGCTTATACTAGCATTATCAAAATCGAGAGTTGCGCCCTGTGTTTTGCCCGCTATATCCCACGTCGGACCTATCGACGAAGTGGTTGAACAACTCTTCTCATCCAAATCGAATGATTGCGCATCATCCACACTCATCACGGAGGCCTCCAATCCTGCTGCTTTGATTATTTGCTCTTCCGCGAAGGTTAAAGGGATTTCAACGAAAGCTCCGCTTCCAGTTTGTCCTTTCGATCCCTTATTACAGCCCAATTTTTTTTTAATAAAGTACTTTTGGTCCCTAAAAACCTACAAAAACAGACTTGCCAAAAATAACATTACGAATGTGAATATATATATAATAACCTTTCTCCACAGTTTAACTAGCTCTTCCCAAAGATTCGTTGCTTTCCTTGCTTGTTGTTAGGAAAATTTCGTGCTAAGTCCTTATTGTGTTCCATAAACTCCGCCATGGCTTCTTTTTGAACAACATTTATTTTATTCATATTTTATAAATGATGTGACAATAATATTACTATGAATTCTTACATGTTTACAAAATTCGTTGCTTTTATTTTTGTTTTATTGTTAACTTGTTCTTAATAAGTGATCAAGGTTTCCCCTTCCAATTGGAGTGCCACGATTGAACACGTGTTCACATTATTTTAGAGATATTCTTTAATAGCCGATCAATACTTCTTTTAGATTTGCTAAGAATTTATTTGTTCATTTCTCTTTGATAGTACCCTTCCATTTTATGGCAAAAGATAAAAGCATCGAAGGTAATTATTTGCTCTTCCCAACGTTTTGGAATTTCTGTCATTAATAGAATTAGATAATCGTTATATTCATTAATTGTGCATTTCGCAATGATATTTTGCTTTATTATTATTTTTTTTTTTTGAATATATCTGTGCGACGGCAATTTTATCGTCTAATGAATTTTCGTCCGATTCCGACAAAAGTCATATACATTGTCGACAGCTGCAAAGTCTAGTCAACGCTAGAAGTTAATTGATGGCCATAAACTTAAACGCGAAACTTAGCGTCGAATTTATTCGACGTCGATAGCCAGATGTTTTCACGAAGATGATGCCAACTACCCCAACACGATTGAGTTGAAAAAGCAAATCAGTCACTTTTGAGTTAGTAGAAATCAAAGATTTGTTTTAAGACATATGCAATCTTTTGGAAAGAATTTCGTATTGTTATGAAGCAAAATTTTTTAAAGAAAAGCGAAATAAATTATTCAACACTTAAAGCTGATAAGATTTACCTTAATATCGAAAACGAAGAATATCGGAGTTGCTTTTGTTTTACTTAAAACATCTGGCAAAATTTATAATGCTTGACAAGCATAATAAGAAATTGCAACTCTGTTGTTAAATGCATTTTCTAAATAATTTTCGACCCGACTTTATCTTCGGTAACGCGTAAAGAAAATTTTGTACTATTTTCTTGAAGAAAAATTGATATTTACAATGATATTTCTTAACAACGAATTTCGTTAAAAGTACGGCAGTTGTTTTGCTTTTATCTGACTGCAGGGAAACGTATGAAGCTTTCCATCAACAAAGTGTTTTTCGGGCTCTCGATTCTTGATACAAAAAAACAAAAAAAGGAGACAAAATTCTAGTGACATATCGGTCGCAATGATATTTCACATATTTCAACAAACATATTTATCCTGTTTTCACTATTCGCCCTTTTTATTTTATCGTCTTAATTTTGTTTGCTGTTGTGTTTTCATTCTGCCGTGTGTATACATTCTTGGAATAGACAAACAAAGTTGCCAGACTAATTTATTAAAAACGCCGGAGTGTGTGTTCACATCGTTAACACTGTTCTAAATTTGCGCACTTAAAATAATTTTTATCAAAATTTGGGGCATAAAATATTAAAAAATTATAATGACGACTTTTGAAAATAAGAGGAAAACAATTTAAATCCATAAAAACAATAAGAGTTAAGCACATAAAGCAATTAAATACCGCATGTGAGTGCAAAAGCATGTAAAGCGAAATGAAAGATTACATGAAATCAACTGGCAACGTTGGATTTATATTGGTGGTTGTTTGTACGTTACATTTCCAATGCTACTTCTTTTCTCTACACCGTTCTTTGTTTTGTTGAATTTACTACATACTCTTGTATATTATATGATAAAATGTTCATTCTGGAAAGTTAAAGCGACGCAAGGAAAAAAGTAACGATATGTAGTCGCCATTAAGTGAAAATTATAAGAAATCAGATGTGTTAAGGATTTTATAAATAGATGATTGCTTTCAATTGAAAAATATTGGAACAATAAGTGAATGATTTAAATACAAAAACAATTTGTGCGGAAAAAGTTATAATGCATTTGTAAAAAAAAAATCAAAATATGCTATAGAATGGAAAGTAAAAAAGGTAATAGATATACATACATAAATGCTCTATACATATATGTGTGCATGCAGGTACATATATGTATCTATTTGGCGAACAGTCCCACTAAGATGATATATTTTTCGACTCGGTTTATTAAAATATAATTCATATTTACATAATTTCAATGTATAAATCTGCATTGATAATCGTATTAGTTATTTAAAAAAAAAAAGAAAAGAACTTTTCTATCCAACTATCAGTGTTTGTTGAATATAGACTTTGAAATCAGTGCAAATATTCATTAAAGTGTGTATACGAAAAGGAAAATTCATGTAAAAATTGATTTTCATTAAGTCATATAACTTAAATTGTTTTAAAAAAGGAGTTAATTGTTTGGGACTAAAGCACAATTAAAATCAAACGTTTCAACATTTCCTTGGTTCTCTTCTAATTACTTTACGGAGACTGTTCCCAATTGCTTAAGTTCTTTTTATAAATACAATTGTGTTCTTTTCTATGCACATCATCGAAAGATTAACAATAAATCAATGTTTGCTACTACGATCGTAAATCATTCAAATACGCATGAATACGTTATCATATTGGTATATGTATAAGCGAATATTCACTTACATGTGTTTCGCGTACAACTTTGTTATGGAGCCCCTTATGTCATTGACGCTCAGTTAATCAATTTGATTAACATATGATTATGATTCGAACTCTCCGTTATATATGTTCTTTTAATGTTATCTCTTTAAGGGCATCTACGTAAAATATCGCTATTTTTACGATCAAACGACTTTTTTTTATTATTAGATGGCGTTACAAATACACACAACGTGGACGGCAAATACACGGAAAAAATCAATTAACGAATGGTTTTTGTCGTAAATAATCACGCCAAAGCAAAAACTATTTGCATGAAACTAATGAAAAAATTTAAGCATTTAAAGAGCCTTTCAAAGCGAAAATGACTGACAGAAAAGAGCATACTAAAAGGTAATCGATAGGAGCTTCTCATCCATTGACTGTCGACGTGAGCCTTTAAAATGTGGATTCGTTAATGAAAGTTAATGGTTTATGCGTAGCAAAAGTTGTGAGCACATTGATAGGTCTTTTTGTCGTTATTGAAGGTAAAATCTTGAACACTTAGTTTCCTTCCAAATTGTATTAAATTTGTGTGTCGGAAAGTCTTTGCGTACCTTTTGTGAAGTTTTATCAGAAACAGTTTTGATTGAATAACTGTTGAATTAAAATACATGTTTGTGAGTAAGTGTAAAGTGGCTATTACCTGACATATATAATCTGTGTATATTTAGCTCATCCGTAAGCAGGAAGTGTAAATTCGTAGAAAGATCTTATTTAGTTACCTAGACTTCATGAGAGAATAATTCTTTCAATGTTCGATTATGTCCCATATTACTTATCCTTAAGTAGAAAGATTACTTGAGCCTTGATAAAGCTCCTCTGCCTTTCAAACAAGACGTAGCTTCCTAGAAATCATAAGTTCTCACTTTTAAAATATAGTTAAAGTCATTTAAATTAAAGGCCTCGAGAAATAGTAACGCATGTGCGAGTTAAAAAAATAATGGTCCACGAGGATTTTGTATGTACGTAAATTAAAGCCACATGCGTGAGTAATTTAATAACTGAGGTGTAAATGAGTTTCTTTCGCAATAGGTAATCTCCTATCACTGCGTTTATTACGCTAACTACATCCAACTACTAATTTAATGTCCCCGATGCACACAAGCACACAAGCTTGGTGACCGCTGGCCTAAAGTAAATATAAGCATATTGAAAAGCTTTTTTTTTCTTTTTGTCAAAATGTCGTCATTTTTCAATAAATTTCTAAATGAGTTTTGAAAATACTTGTGCAATATTATAGACATGTCATATTTTGCGGGCAACAAAGTTTCTGAACTATTTTTTTAGATTGTTATATTTTATTATCATCGTTACGTATGAATTTTAGTCGGATCGTCTAAACTATCTTTCAAAGAAATTGATCTGAAGACATGAAAGTATTGCTCAATTCGATAAATTCACATCCGTCGATTATTACTGGCATTGGACATTCGATTTTAAAAGATCTTTAGGTTCATTAATTTCTAAGCGAACTTCTTTGATGTGTTTGTTGTTTGGATTCATTGCAGGAAAAAGATTTTTGTCTTTTTTAATGTGACGAATCACTCAAGCAATGTTCTCCATACGTGTAATAAGGCGATAGGCAGAAAAGGGAGTAGTGAGTGCGAAAGACAGACAGGGCGAGACCGCAGCCTAGGGGGCACGTGTGACCAATCGGCTATACCCTTGTAGGGTGAACACTCACTCACTGTAATTACGACAAAGTATGGTTTACCGTACTGAGATTTGAATCCGACTCTTATTTCCACGGTTACGACGCGGCAGCCCAAGAGAATCATTGTTTTGCATTCAATTCATAACTCGTATCATTTTCGTCGCAGCGCTTTGACATGTTTTGTTTTGGTTTTATGAAGTAACTGATGAAAATCTTAAATAATTTCTCATTTCCCGGTATATTGCGTTCAAAAAGTAAGACCAATTTTTCGCTTTTACAAATCCTCAAACTCGAACTATATTGCTTGTTAATAGTTTCGCTCGGCGAAATGAATTCATATTGCACAACACCACGATAACCAAAGAAAACTGTTAAAATAACTTTCAATTTTGAGCGACTTTGGCGGTGATTTCCGGATCGTGGGCATAGATCCAAGTCTTGTCTTCCGTAATAATAAGTTTCACGGCCGGTTGATGGTCAGAAATCGTCTCCTCACACGCATCGTCAAATCGCAAAAAAAATACCTAAGTCAAAAACCAAGTGCAACTCGAACACTAATGATGTTTATGGTGTGAAATTGAATATTGATTTTACTTTTTGGTCACAGTGCTATGTATAATGGAACTACACTAGGATAGTGTCCGAACAAATCGGAGGTTATTGCAAAAAAAGCCAGCATGGAATCTACTAACCTTATGGTGTACGATGCTGTTGTTCTCTTATAAATTCTTCTTATGATTACTGTGGGAAAAAGGTCGAGCACGGCCAGAAATCTGTGCATTAGAATTGCAAAATATTTTACCAACAGTGAGGTTATCACTTGGCTAAGCAGGACGCTTCTCAAGCTGGACTTAGGAAAGATTTGTACCACGCGTTGTATCGATGTCTGTTTCTAGCTTTTACTTTGTTTACTCTGATCATATACATAGGGAACAATCGCCGTAAACCACCGTGCCGAGCTTTGGAATTGTTTTTCCTATGAACTGTAAATAATAATTCTTTACTAACGTTCCGTCCACAATTACGTCTGTTTTCAAAATTGCTTTGAACCCCTTAGCTGGAACAAATAAGTGAAGACAAAATGGAGTTTACGCACCAAGCAAACTTAGTTACTGTAAAGGCCCTAAATAAATGCTGTGAATTGGATACCAAGGTCACATATATTAAAGCGTTAGATTATGCTTGCATTTGAATGCCTTGCGCGTTAAAATTATACAAGCCATATGATTCTAAGGTATGCGCGACACACAACGCAATTAATATGCTGAATGACAGGAATTTCGGCATCGTGAAAGATCACACGCACAATCCAATCTTATCTGAACATAATTTCTTTCTTGTTTTTTCCCTTTAGAATTAAAGAAGAAATTGGTGAAATTCATTCTTAAAAAATTACATTAAGAATTCTTATTGCCAATTGGAAAGCTGAAGAAGCGAACATATATGATGTTGAATCATATTCAATTCAAATTATTGTACCGACAACTTGACTAAGTAAAGCTTTTCGCATATGAAGTTGTTATTATTATATCTGCTACGTCTTACAAAGTCTGAGACTTAACTGAATCTAATGTTATTTTCGATTTTCTTACCTAATCGAATGAATTCTTGAATTGGTGGGTTAAGGTACTTAGTCCACCTTAATAAATGCTTTTATTTACTTTTCTATTTGTCAATTAGGTCAACTATCTAGGAACTCGTTTTATTGCTTTTGTGCTGGCATGTAAAGCAACTAAATTTCTTTAAGGCCTTGGAAGTAACCACTGATTATCTTCATGATAATATTCCTCGATTTCGCCAAAAGCCGGCTACGTTATATAACTTTCCAAAAGAATAAATTATGTACAGTGGGATGCATTAATATTTGGTTTTTATCCCAAGCAGGAATGAAATATTCACCAATTTAAAGTTATTGTCCTTACGCAGTCATCAATTCTATTAATTTGTTCTACCAGCGAAGGTGCACCAAACTGTAAGAACACTCCACAGAAACTGTTATAACGAAAACAACAATCGTTAAAACAACAACAATTCTTTAGAGACCTAAGCAAACGAAGCGTCAGCAATGTTCGAGTTTTGTAGATTTTGAATTCTAGCGAGCGCAAAAAGATTTGCAGAAAGTTTTTCCGAAATAAAGTTCGCATTAAATGAGCAACTAGGCTCATTTTGTCCAGAAAAGCCGAATGGGACGCAAAGGAAAAAATTCAACTTTAGAAAAGAGAGAAATAGTCATTAGTCATAGAACCTTTTGCACTTTAAGAAGAGTGAAGCATACAAAAAATTTACGGACATCGTCAATATGAAAATAAATGGAGTGGGGAAGATATTGTTCGCTGATGCAAAAATGAAGGAAGAATTCATTTAATTGGGCAAATGGGCAAACCAAAGAAAGAAAGTTACTAACATGATACGATTGAACAGGCGGAATTAAGAGCAAATCCTAGATTAAGTGCACCCAAAATTGCAACTTGGTACGATAAGAAGAACGAAGAGAGAGCTAAGACTAAACTATGCCAGAAGAAACATTTCTAAGCCTATGTCCTGGCGGAACGACATTATATCTGCTGATGAGAGCAATTATAACGTTTTTGGGACCGGTGAACAAGTGATGATTTGGCGTAAAAGAAGCGAAGAACTACGGCTACAAAACTTCAGGTCTACGGTGAAACATGGCAATGATCACGTTATGGTTTGGGGATGCATTGGAGCCAATGGATTCGGAAAATTGAGTTAT